AATTCCACCAAATTAGTTAAACATGACCTACCCTTCATGAACCCATGCTGGGTGTTTCCAATGGGACAATTTATATCCAGATGTCTTGCTATTTCTTCCTTAATGATAGATTCAAGCATTTTCCCCACTACCGAAGTTAAGCTAACTGGCCTATAGTTACCTGCTTTTTGTCTACTTCCTTTTTTAAACAGTGGCGTCACATTGGCCGTTTTCCAATCTGCGGGAACCACCCCAGAGTCCAGTGAATTTTGGTAAATAATTACTAGTGCATTTGCTATTTCCCCCATCATCTCTTTTCGTACCCTGGAATGCATTTCATCAGGGCCAGGAGACTTGTCTACCTTTCGCCCCATTAGCTTGCCCAGCACTGCCTCCTTAGTGATGATGATAGTTTCTAGGTCCTCGCCTGCTATAACCTTCTTGCCATGTTCTCGGCACGTTATTTGTGTCTTCCACTGTGAAGACCGACACGAAATAACTGTTTAATGTCTCGGCTATTTCCTCATTCCCAGTTATTAAATTGGCCTTCTCATCCTCTAAAGGACCAATTTTTACCTTCACCACTCTTTTACGATTTACATATTTATAGAAACTTTTGCTGCCTGTTTTTATATTCTGAGTAGTTTACTCTCATAATCTATCTTACTTTTCTTTATAACTTTTTTTTGTGGCTTTCTGTTGGCCTTTAAAGATTTCCCAGTCTACTTGTTTCCCACTACTCTTTGCTTTTTAGTATGTGTTTTTTTTTTCAATCTGATACTTTCCTTTATTTCCTTAGACATCCATGGCTGGCTCTCTCCTTTCCTACAGTTCTTCCTTATCACTGGAATATACTTCTGCTCAGCACTGTGAAAAATCGTTTTGAAAGTCCTCCACTGTTCCTCAATTGACCCACCATAAAGTTTTTGCTCCCATTCTACCTTAGCTAACTCCTCCCTCATTCCTTCATAGTCTCCTTTGTTTAAGCACAGGACATAGGTACTGGATTTAATCTTCTCACGCTCCATCTGTATTTTAAATTCGATCATACTGTGATCGCTCCTTCCGAGAGGATCCCTAACTGTGAGATCATTCATTATTCCTGTCTCATTACACAGGACTAGGTCTAGGATAGCTTGCTCCCTCATAGGTTCCATTACATATTGTTCAAGGAAATTATCGCGGATGCATTCTACGAACCCCACCTCAAGGCTGCCATGACCGACCTGGTTTGACCAATCGATATGTAGATTAAAATCCCCCATGATAATTGCTGTACCATTTTTACATGCATTAGCTATTTCTATGTTTATTGCCTGCCCCACCACGATGTCATTATTTGGTGGCCTAGAGACCACACCTATCAGTGACTTCTTCTCCCTGCTATTCCTAATTTCCACCCAAATGGATTCAATGTTTTGTTCAGTAGAACCTATATCATCTCTCACTACTGCCCTGATATCATCCTTAAAAATCAGAGCAACACCACCTCCCTTGCCTTCCTGTCTGTCCTTCCGAACAGTTTGATACCTCTGGATATTTAACTCCCAGTCATGACCATCCTGTAACCATGTATCTGCAAAGGCCACTAAATCATACCCATTTGCCATGATTTGCGCCGTCAACTCATCCAACTTGTTTCGAATGCTCTGAGCATTCAGATAAAGTGCCCTTATGCCAGTTTTTGCACCTTCTTTTTGGGTCCTATTACCTCCATTACTAACAGCTCTTGAGTTCTCCTTCCCTTTAACTTTTTTCCTAATTTTCAATGGAGTTGAAGCTTCCTCATCACCTGCTAATCTGCTGCTTTGCCTTACATTAATTGTTATTCTCCCTCTACGCTCACTTCTCCCTACCCCCTACTTACTAGTTTAAAGTCCTATTAACCACCCTATTTACCCTTTTCGCCAGAACACTGGACCCGGCCCTGTTCAGGTGGAGTTCATCCCAGCGGTATAGATCCCTCCTGTCCCGGAACTGATGCCAGTGCCCCATGAAAAGGAAAACCTCTTTCCCACACCACTCTTTTAGCCACATGTTTATTTCCCTGATCCTCGCCTCCCTATGCCAATTTGCACGTGGCTCAGGCAGCAATCCAGAGATTATGACCCTTGAAGACCTGTTTTTTAATTTTGTTCCTAGCTTTTCATAATCCTGAAACAAGTCTTTTTTCCTAGTCCTGCCTATGTTGTTGGTACCTACGTGGACCACAACAACTGGATCCTCCCCCTCCCTCTCTGGTATCCTCTCAAGCCGGTCAGAGATGTCTCGCACCCTGGCACCAGGCAGGCAACACACCATGCAGGATTCTCTATCCTGCTCGCAAAGGATACTGTCTATCCCCCTGATGATGGAATCCCCTACAACTACAGCCTGTCTTTTTGCACCCCCCCTCTTGAATGGCCTCCTGGACCACGTTGCCATGGTCAGTTGACTCATCCTTCCTGCAGCCCTGTTCCTCGTCCACGGAGGGAGCAAGTGCCTCATACCTGTGGGACAATGTCAAGGACTGCGGCTCCTGTGTTCCTGTCTGCAGGGTCCCTCTACCTGCCTCACTTGCAGTCGCACACTGCTGTCCCTGCCCGCCGATCAAATTAACATTAGTTAATCTACCAGGTGTGACTGCCTCCTGGAACACTGCATCCAGGTATTTCTCCCCCTCCCGGATGTGCCGCAGTGTTTGGAGTTCAGATTCCAGCTCATCAATTTTGAGCCGGAGCTCCTCAAGCAGCCAGCACTTGCTGCAGATGTGGTCACTGCCATTCTCAATGGGATCGGCTAGCTCCCACATCATACAGCTACAACACATCACCTGGCCTGCCATCTCTACTTAGTTAATTATTTAAAATTAATTAGTTTTTTTTTAAGTTTTGCAGTGTTTTCTGCACCAGTAAGTTTACTCCGTTATATACTCAAACAGACTCCGGCTTTGCCTTCCGACCCGTTCCCAGAGGATTTGGCGTCTGGGTGACCACCCCGAAAGATAACAGAGATGAGGGAAAAAAAATGCAAATAGCTTACCTGCTCACCACACTTGGTCGTTATTATTAGGTTAGAGGAGATGGAAGGGTGGGAGACACTACACGTGTAGTGTCTCGGGTATTAGTTAACTCCCAAATTTATTAGGTGGAAGCTTACCTTCCCAGGCTGCCCTCGCGCTTTCTCCTGGACTCCCGCCGCTGAAACAACTGAAAGCAAAGTGACAGCAAGGTCCAGGACACAGGGCAAGTATCAACCTTTTGACATTTTGCTGAGGAAGTCATTTTTTTCTGATTGCACTGAATCTTTGAATGGACTAGTTGTACCTTGCATAAACAGGGATTATTAATTGTACATTTTGTCTTCCATTTCCTTACATACAGAAGATTAAAGACCTTTTACTGAAGGTGATTTAAAGATCTGGTGGCATATACACGCATAAACTAAGCCATGTCAACTTGTATTGAGCAGATTCAAGAGACTCTTACTGTGTTTTTATTGGGATGTATATTTTCAGTGCTGCACAGTTCCAATCATTTGCAAACTTATTATCATATTTCTTACTACTATCTTGCTTTCATTTAACTTCCAACAATCAAATTGGATAGAATAGACAGCTCCTCAAACCTGATGTAAATTCTAGTTTCAAGGAAAAAAAAATAGATAAATTCAAATCTAGGCCAAACAATTTCAGGAAAAGATACAATCACAGAATCTCTACAGTGTGAAACAGGCCAATTGACCCATCAAGTCCACACGAACCCTCCGAAAAACATCTCCCCCCCCACCCCCCATCATCCCTGTAACCCTGCATTTCCCATGGTTAATCCAACTGACCTGCACATCCCTAGACACCATGGGCAATCCACTTAACCTGAAGATCTGTGGACTGTGGGAGGAAACCCACACAGACAAGGAGAGAATGTGCAAACTCCACACAGATAGTTGTCCAAGGGTGGAATCAAACACAGGTCCCTGGTGCTTCGAGGCAGCAGTGCTAACCACTGAGCCACTGTGCCACCCGAATATACAGCAAAGAAGTTAAAAGTCTTGACTGCTCCAATTAACAAGAAGAAATAAGGAACTTAGATTGAAAGGAAGAATAGAAAGTTTGTTTCAAGTTGCTATATTTTAAACCGCTCCCTATTGAAGCAAGTCAGTATATGGGGACTGTTTCACATTTTCGTGCTCGAAGTTTCATTTCAAGTCTTCTCATTTTGGGCGTCATATTGGGTCGTGTGACCTGATCAGCGCCATTTTAGAGTCATCTCTCCGTGTTTTGACCCTTCCCTCTCACTTGCTGCTGATTCTCCCTGTCACCAAACCTCACTCTCACTGTCTACCCTCCCTCTTATCACCTGTCTAGGGCTCACGGCTTATCTCCTGTAAGTCAAAATTACTCTTCTTGTCTCTTGCCATTCATCTCCAGGTCTCTCACTCATAGTGGGCTGAAGGGTTAGGAAGTGAGAGGGTCAGACAGGGGAAAGGTCGCAAGTCAGAGGGTCGGTGAGCAGGAATGAAGGCCAGCAGGAGACGTAGCAAGCAGGAGGGAAGTAGAAAGTTAGCAAGATTCTTCTACAATTGGTGAATAAAATGGCTTTTAAAAATAAGATAAGTTTATAATATAGGAAATTACCAATGTAAAAAGTATTTCAACTTACAGAGTACAATGTTGTAACTCTGCTTTCTCTCCGTAGACACTGCCAGACCTGCTGAGTTTTTCCAGTAATTTCTGAATCTGTTTCTGATTTCCAGCATCTGCAATTCTTTGTTTTATTGTTTAATATTTTAATGCGTTTTTCTGATGGGAAATTTCCTACAGAACCTAACTGTAATTTTTATAATGGCTGCAATGAGAAAATCTCATTTGAATTAAGTTCTTCATTTAAAATTGCACTTTTCAGGAATGCAATTGCGTTCTTAAGTAAGAAACAGTTGTAATGTTAGAGCTCTACCTTACATCAGCCACCTCACATAGTGGGTAAATCACATTTTGGTGAAAACAATGTTCCTATTCATTGTTTTTACAGAATGGCACCAACCTGGACTGCTCCTTGTGAGGTGACGACCGTGACTTGCTGCACCCATCTCTCTTGTCATGGGATCGGGAGCAGGAGCATGACAGAGACCTGCTAGAGCTCCTGGAGCTGCTCCTGCGGCGAGGGCTGTAGGAAGAACTTTTCTTCTTATCCGAGTTGTGGCTGCTAGGCTGTTCACGTTTCCCTGGTGACCGAGTGCGACTCTTGTTCCTGCTTGTGAAATGGCTTCGATGGTGGCGGTGTGGCATCTGCCTTAACCTAGGATGATAAACAGTTTTGGCTGTTTTATCACCATACAAACAGAAGTAAAGGAAAAGGCCATCTCGCCAATCCGACTTGTCTCACACAACCGTTACATCTTGTCCATTGTGCAGACTTCCCAAGTATGACTGAAAAGATCATCACCAACAATGAAAAGTTAACCTTGCAGGCACTGCTGTAATCAGGCCACGGAAATTGGGATATTAAAATATACAAGTGGAGTTCTTTACAATTTTCTTTAAAGACTTAACCACAGAAATGCAGCTATATGCATAACAAACCTAAATTGCTCTTATGTGTACATTACATCTGTAATTACAAATGTCTCTTGATAGAAATACGGAGGATATTTCATGGTGACTTTTGAATGTTTTATTGAGAAAGTGACTTTCTTTCAGTATTACTGCCTGGTCATTTGCAAAATTGTTACCGTCTTTCTGAGAACCATTTTCCTGGCAGCAGTCAAAGAAGGCAGGATAGGAATTGCTTTGACAGTTCCAGTGGCATTTGCGTATTTGGTTGCAGAACAGCTGACATTCTGGAGCAGGAGTAACTGAACCTCAAACATCTTTACTCTGAGGCTGCTGACTACTAGCCCAGAAGATCCTTCCTTCATCTGTCAGAGGAAAACCAACTGCTGATACCTTCATACTTCACAATATGCCATCACTTGGCATCAGAGAGAACTATACCACAGGATTGACTTAATCAATGGATGTGAAAACTGGCCACAGATACATTTAAAGAAAGGACAGAGATTTTATCTACTAAAGGCAATGAATTGACCACTTTCTTTGGAAGAAAGGCACCAGTTGAATCCTTTAACTGTGGCAAGTTCAAGAAGATACAAAAACCCTTGCCTTCTGGGACTTCCTAGTTCTACTTTCTTTTGTTAGGCTTAAGGTTAACTCTTCTCTGAATTCAATAACCACAGGCCTCAAATTAAAATGCACTGACCTATCAATTCCAAGGGCTATAATTACCCTGTGCAACAAGGCAAAGATTTCTTGCATCAGTGCCAAACATTCAATGAGAAAAACTGTGTATCACAAAGTGGTGTCTAAAAAAAATGCACTTTAACATTTACTGCATATGACATTATGCAAAGGGTTGATTGAGTTTCAAACTTCTCAGAAGTTTCTTACTCATTGCTAACCTGACACAGATGAGCCAAAACTAACATGGCTATCAGCAATTCAGGAATAAATTGCACAAAATGAAGAAATGAGTGGAATAAAGGAAGGGTCCTTTTACAGTTTGATTGTTATTTGCACTGAACGCTGTCAGAACTGTATGCCCAGCAAAGTATATTAACTCCTCACCTGGACAGAGTCTTGAGCAGCACCTCCCTTGGCCAATGCTGGAGAACAGGGGAACTCTGTACCTGCTTAAACATTTTGTCTCATGCTTTGGTGGATAACTGTGTGGCAGGAAAACCTAATTAACTTGATTTTCTGCTGCTTTGCTTGTCCAGAGTGAACATCAGAACCTGGACTGAACTCAAATCATTTGCAAGTCTGTGAGAAAACAGGACTGAATGAAGGTCTGAATCCAAATTTGTCAGTTACACGCACATAAATCTGCTGCATATTCCATCAGGACTGAAAGGTTCCATTTCAGGGCTGGGGTGGAGGGTATGAGGTGAAAGGTGAGCACGGGAGAAACTGAAGAAGTCATGGGCACAATACACTTTCTTTCAGTCACTAGTACAGTGATGTATGTAGCTAGGGAGAGGTTGGCAATGTGTTCCTGACCTGGAGTGCAAGGTCTTTGGAGGGGAATATCTTAAGCAGTGGAGGACAGGTTGGGGTTGGGAACTGCTGGAAAACAGTACAACTAGCCTTTTTTGAAGATTGGAAAAATATAACACCAGACTAACTTCTTTGCTCGCGTGCTTTTACTCCACCCTGACACGTTGTGCGGTCGTGAGCGACTGCCGACAGATTCTGCAGAGTCACTGCTGAAGTCTGATTGGCTTGGAGAGCGTGGAGACCCTTTGTGAGCTGGTAGGGTCGGCTTCCGTCGGCTTGAGCCCCTATGTGTGGATGCTGACCTTGATCTGTGCTTTGCATGCCTGCCCTCAGTGGAAGATCTCCTGCTGTGGCCTGGGGACCTGGACCTGAAACTCCTGGACCCATGCTTCGATTGCTTGGTGTCCTTGGCCTTGGGAGATGTCGACGCAGATCTGGGTTCTGCTCCTGGTGACAATGACCTGGAGTCCGTGCTCTGTAGCAGGAGAGAAAGACTGAACTTAAAGACACTCCGACACAACAGCAATGATCTTTTAATTCTTGCCACATCCCTAAGACACAGCCTACGTCAATAGTTTATCTAACACAGTCCTCTACAGTGCAGCTCATGCAAGATTTTGCATGCAAACCAAAAATTAATTCAAAATAACAAACCTGGAATGGGAAAAAAAAATTAACCAGTCAACCAAAGGTTAAGAAGGAACAGAATGGAATAATAAATAAATTAAAGAGTGAGCTCAATAGATCGCTGTATTTTTGAGGAAAGGACAAAGTTTTTTTACAATTCCTGATTTTAAAATAAAACAAGGTGAAGATAGACAACTTGACTGAACAGCACAGAAATGGAAGGCAAAAATTGGAACAAAAATCCACAAATGTATTAATTATCACTCAAACAAAACCCTCTGAATAATACTCTGTTTTCTTTTTGTGCTTTTCCTGCAGAGAACTGCTCATCTGTCATCAGCGACCCAGATTATTAATGTATTTTTTTGTACCCCCGTTTGGTTAACATACACTTACCAATCAGGTAGCATTTCCTCCATTAGTAGGTAAGGTGTGAGGAAAAAGGGAAAAGCGGGGCAACATAAGTGCATCATTAGAGTCACAAAATGCAAGAGAAAAAAAGACACAAAAAAGCCCTTTCCAAGTAGTGAAATATGAACAATGTATGAAATTAAGAATGTGCAAAGGAATTTATTAATACTACAATAATGCAACTGCTTTAAAGCCTAAGTACTGATGCACTAAAATAAGGCCAATCCGGGGTTTCTGGGCTACCACTCCACAAAAGGGTCATTCATATATAAATATATACCCGTGGAATGTCAGATTTTACCTGTAAAGTTTTGGACAAGAGGTTATAGGAGACAAAGTGAAATGCAGAATGTCTGGCATTCCTTAAGTGCAGAGAATGAGCCTCTCCCAGTCTCTGTGACCTTTAGCATTCTTCAGGATTGCACAGTGAAGGGCAGAAGACAAGGTTTTGAACCAATGTTAAGAACTAGCATGTCCAATCTGCCTTCTTCGATTTTCAGTTCTGAAATGTCAATCAGCCTCAAACGTTTTGTACTTTGGTGAGAGGGAGTTGGGGTGGGGGGATGCAAGTGGATTGGAACTGTTCACATTATTTTGATTTTGACACATTTGCCTTAAATCTGGAATAGATATTGTTGGAAAGGCATCCCTATTTTCTCGCCAGAAGTTGCATTGGTTTAAACTAAACCACAGCCTCTTTTGTTTTCCGGTCTAATTTGAGCCTTTTTGTAGCTGCTCAGTAGCTGCCAATACCCTTATGGTGGATACTAGATTGCACAGGTTTTAAATCTCTTTGCAATAAGACAATAGCATATTATTTTCCACTGCCATTAATCACAGTGTCCATTTAAAAAAAACATCTTTGTTGCAAAAAAAAACAAATTAAAAAAAAACTCCAAGGTGCCACACAGAGGAAAACAATATGGCTGAGAACTGACCACACTGAACTGAACCCAGCTGAGCTTTGGCCACCCTCACTGTGTGATTGTTAATTGCTGGTTTCCTAAAATGTTCTCTTATGCCAATATTCACTTTGTGGTCCATTGTAAGTGACCTGAAATCACATCGTCACACTAAGGATGTTGTGACAGCCATAAAACATATTCCTCACTTGTCCTAGCATTTACTTGAGGTTTAACAGATCCATTTTATCATAAAAATGACCACTATTTGGCTTAAGCATTTTACAATGTTGACTTCTGAGCACAAATAACCTGGTATTGCAAGTAACATGTTAGAGTGTGCATGTTTCAAATGTAAATACTTAGTTAAAAAACATTTTACCACTGACTTCTAAATAAAACTGTATTAAAAATTAGGTAATACGTGATAACCTTTGAATAGATTTTACATTCCAAACTAATTATAGGAATAATTTTAAAATTTATTTTACATTAACTTCTAAACCCCTCCCATCTTTTAGAACAACTTAAAAGTAGATGCTAGATTACGTGCAGGTTCTGTACGTCATCAAATGCATACTTCACCTAGCCACTGTGGGAGTGGAGGAATGGGAGAGATCATGTGAGCAACCCCGGGTAATCCATCTCTGCTTTGCGTCTCCCTCTTTAACTCCTCAGCATAGGTGATATCAACATGAGGATTGGTAGGCAAATGTTGGCACTTAGGTCATTAATATACTGTAGCATAGTCACTTTAAGACTTTGTTATTGTATACTAAGCCTTTTTCTTTAAAAACAGGCAGTTTAAAAATTCATCCTCATTCACTCATTGCTTACGAGATTTTCAAATTTGCATGAATACAGAACTATTTGGAATCAGGAAAGTTATCTTCCGACATTGTAAGTGGATTGCACAATTGAGCAAACCCAAGCTTCTCATTAGAAGTAATAATCCCAAAAAGAGAGCTCCCTTGAGTCACAAATTCTTAAAGTCATTGATTGTCAGTATAAAAGAAAGAGATGAAAAGAACCCAATTTATTTTTGAAAAGTGAATGTTAACAGGGAAAATAGCACTGGCTTAAAAGGATAAAACGGGCCTGACATGGTGAGGAGATTGTGCTTCTGTTCCCCTCACGGGTTAGTGTTTAGTTGTAACCTATCAGATAGTATGGACCAGAAGCCTCTGCTGTTCTTAACTATGCTCCCAAGAAGTGCCATGATCCTGTTACAGTGAGCATTTTCTCTTCTGGTTTTGTCCTTCTTCTCCATCACTAGGGCCAAATCTATTCTACGGTTGGGAACATAAGCGAGAAAGTCAATTCCACCATGTGAGGACATGTATTAGAAGGTGACTATTTCAACATTTTGCCCACTCGAGCTTCAATTTCCCATTTAGGCAGTGTCTCTAACGCTCAACTTTAATTTTATAATTCTATAATCTTCCTTCACACAGTCAATGAGTTTCGTGAATGAGTTTACAAATTCCATCAGTCTTATGATTTGATTTCAGCCCAGTTGTTCACAGAACCCTTATGGATCCTGACATTGTGAACTCAAAAAACGATTATCATACAATAAGTATCATGTCAGACGACTGGCCTCGCATTTACACAACACTGCCGTCAATTATCTTTGAGTTTCCCCTAAATGTTCAAAGAGGGCTAGTATCAAAGTTGCTGAGGAAAAATGTATTCCCTTAACTACCCTTTTTTCCAACCTGGATGTTACATTTTCTAAGCAGTGATGGGAACAGTATAAGGAGAGCCCAACTGGAGTTCATTTCTAAACAGACCTAATGTGGTTCGTTTTCCAAAAAGACTGCAGTAAATGGAGGCTAAAGGTCAAAGGTTATGAGGGATGCTCATTATAGTCATATCTCACCCACCGCTTTTTCTTTTTAAATTAAGTTTGTTTAAAGGAAATGACCATGCAGAGATGCCCCAAACAGGGAACTGAAGGGACTATGACAGCAATGATTCTGCTGAAGAACTGACAAAACACCCATACATCTTATATATAAGTATGGCCTTTGTCTTCTTTGATTTTTTTTCCCCCCTTTTGCTTTCTATAGCTAGACAGGAACAAACAGCCACTATATTCAGGGACACCATATATGTTAGTACAGCTACTGAAAAAATAAAAACAGAGCAAAAGAAAATGACTTAAAAAGGCATCATTCATGGATCAATGCTACAAACAACACAGATATGCATCTTAACAACTCTACAGAACATGAAGGTCAGAAAAGAAAATGAATCCAGAGCAGGGGCTAACTGGGAGATTTTATAATAAAACAGACAACCAAAGGAGTTTCTTTTTAAATAAAAAGCAACAAAAAACCCAGAAAAGGGAAATCAAATAAGATTTAACTTCAAGCCAGGGTGCTTTAACAGACTCATCTGCAGATGTGTTGCGTGCCAAGGCAAACAAATACCTACCTTCCAACCACAGATAGGAGTGCAATAACAAAAGAAAACAATATCTCCACATTGGAGTGCAATATGGGAAAGAGACAGTGACTCTTTAGTAATGTGCCATTGACTTGATGCTAAGTGCTATTTTTTCCTCTATTGTTCTTTATGCTCAAACATTGCAGCCATGATGTTTCATACGCAAAAGGTTCAGAAACAAAAGAATCTCATTAAACATAAAAATCCAATCACGTGCAGTGCAGTAACTTTACATGACAACTGACTAAGGAAAACAGAAAGTGCACATTGGATTAGAGACACGAGGGAAAGCTTACAGAGAGGCAAAAGCACACACAGAGCAGGTAGGGAAGCTATCAATGGAAGGAATGGGTGGCAACCAGAACACCCTGTAGATAATCTGTCTTCAGGCTTATTAACCCTTGGAGGACGGTTTGAACATTTTCTTGTTAACACTTATCATTCTCCAATCTGTAGCCAATAAAGATGTAAGTCCATCCAATTTCCTAAACACATCCTCAGATGTATGGAACTTCACCCGATGCCAATTCGGGGTAAGGCTCTTTGGTGTTTGGAATCAAAACTTATTCTGCTGAGTCCAATTATACAAAGTTTGCAATAGACAAGGAGGGGGAAGACTGTTCTGTAAAGGAGCAAATCCTAAATGGATTTTCTTTTCCATCACCTGGGTGGTAATGTGACAGCATGGTGTCTGCTCATTACAGAAACTGCCTGTAGCTTATTCTGTTAAAATCAACAGACTGAAAATCAGACAGGATCTGTAAACAGTCGGTGGTTTGTGCTGGCATAGGCTTTCCCAGGCAGTGATGGTCAAAATTTCTTCTGTTCTTCCTACATGAAGTTTTCCTTCCTAAATTATACTGATCAAATGTAAATGAAGCAAAATCTGTGCTTAATATTGTGAAAATACAAAACAGTGAAACCTGTATTAGTGGAATTCCTCTCTTTTGAATTATAAATACTGCCTGCTAACATCAAAATGTTGCAAGTAGTAAAACACATTCTTTAAATAGTGGATCACTTGCCAAGTTGAATCTGTTTTGGCTTTCCATAACAAAATATGCAGTACTCAAAGGGTTAATAG